CAAACAACGTAGATCCAGATCTCACTAGAGTGGATCGATCTCATCATCGACCTGTATCTGTGTTCATCTAGAAGACCTGTACAGGAAGGCCTTCACTGGCCACAACATGAATATTTATTTACGCTTCTGATAACAGTAATAATCTTTGTTTATACAGCACCTTTCATACAGACTATGTAGCTCAAAGTGCTGTACATTTAACAATAAATCAAATTAATAAAGCATCCATTTTTCACTTACATTTGAAGTGCAATTAAAAAATGGCAAAAGATCAATAATAAATGGAAAGTATTTCACATTTCAAATGACAGCAAAAGGAGAAATGTTTGGACATAAAAGTGTTTGACAGACAGATGTGGGACTCGCATAAAGTGCTGTTAAAAATAGAGGCTTGGTGAAACAGATCTGCCTCTCTAATGTTCCTGGGTAGGCTGTTTGTGCACTCACAGGTCTCAGTTACGTCATGTGAGGCTCTATTAGACATGTAGAACCATCATCAGACACCACGGCCCCGTCTACACGCGTATAAAACCTGTTCAAACGTAACGTTTTGGCCTCTCGTTCACACGCAAACAACGTCACTAAAACGGATGTTTTTGAAAACGCCTCTGTGTAGTGTAGATTTGTATTACTGTACTTTGTATCGGCGTGGACATGTGAAACGAGGACGTCTAAACATAACGGATGGTTTAATCTCAACAGCGACCAGTGAAGACCAGTCAGACTCAGCGGCCGGTCTTGAGCTTTGTCATCACTAACGCCGTGTTCATCACGTCTGTTTCATGAGGAAACTCTTTCTCCACCTTCTCCGAAAGTTTCCTCAAAGTTCACTGAGACGTCTGAATATTTCGTACGAGACTCCCAATTAACCTATTCTTGTGTTTTCGTCTCATTATATTGTAAAGTGCCGCTAAGCAGCGACACCACCTCCTCGTCCGTCCACACGGGTCACATTTAGTCGCTTTTGTGTTCTAGTGTGGACGGAGATGTTTTATTTTAAAACGTAGAGGAAAACAATCATTTAAAAGGTGCAGACGGGCCCTTTAACTCGAGACGGACCTCGATGAGTCAGCTCACACGGACATGTGTCGCGTTGTTTTCCCAGAATGAGGAGATGTTCACCGGAGTGACATCTGTGCCTTCTTTCATTTCTCTACCTGCCTCACCAGGACTCTTTTTCCCAGCTCTGCAATTAGACCGATCCATTCACACCGCCCCTCCAGCTCCTCTCCGCTCGGCCTTTTGTGAGAACTCGAGGGCTTTGTGTTTCCAGCCTGAGCCCCCTTTTCACCGAACACTCTGAGAAAAGGCCAGTGCCTCGGCATGGGGGACATCTGTTGAGAAGTGCCTTGGATTCATGTCATGGACGGGGTCATATTTTATTCACAAAGAGTTGAACCCAACAACAACAACAGTAATTAGGCAGAAATTTGGTTTGTAGCTGGGGCCCAGAGTCCTGCTGACGGGATCAGGGTAGTTCCCACTGATGACTGAAGGGTTGAACCCCCCAGTGAAGCTGCTGGTGGACCAGTGGTTTCCAGCTGAAACGGTTTATTCTGACACAGCTCGGTCCATGTAGGTGGTAACACGAGGGAAAGGAAATAGCTTAAAACCATATTACAGTAGGACTTTGTTGTTAGAACTTTGGACTTACTTTCACCTGAAGTCAGAAAAAGTAAACCGTCTTTATATCTCACAACGCTGACATTTCATTTCAACCAACATTTATACGACCTCTTCTAATTCCCCCACTCCTCTCATACGGATGTCACTGTTTAACTAACTGGGCTCCTCTTGGTGTCACTTTGGGCCGTTTTTCACCGTTCCATTACATGTAGTCATTTAGTCCATGGATCAACATCAGCGATGGTGGAGACCAAACCAGAGCTAAAAGCAGACATTACTGAATGTTAGATGTTAGAGTATATTCTGTTTTTATTCCATTTCCTGTAAAATCCTGCCTTGAAACCGAGAACTCATGAACTTGTTCACACTGAGTGAAGTATTCAGACCCATCAAAAGATATATATTATGTTTATTTTCTCTTCTGTATGATTGAACAAATCTTGATGGTCAGCTGATGAGTTCGATTATCAGCAGCTTGTCTTTGTCCCAGGCCCCCCCCCCCCCCCCCCCTAAACCTCTGGCTAGTAAAGCAGAAGGAAGAGGATCATGGAGAATGAGCACTGAACTGGACAACATGTTTACCTCTCCACGTTTTTTTAATCCACACAACGTGACGTAACCCTGACCCACTTTGGTTTCCTGTCCGCCCTCAATGTTGACCACAAACACGAGACGTCTTCGTCTCCACTTTTTACTTTTAAAGGACCTCTACCATTCATAGACTAAAGTAACAATAATGTCAGGAAGTAAAGTGACATTTTTTTTTATCAACCTGACAAAATTACATTCTTGTGGAAAGAAAAGAAAAGGCAACACTGTAGCTTCTTTACATTGTATTAGAATGTAGCTTCTTTAATGTAAAGAAGTTACATTCTAATAGAATGTAAAGAAGCTACAGTGTATAGAATGATTCTATTGAAGTTATTCCTTTTTTAAATGTTTTAGACGAGTCACTAATCACTTTAAAATAGTGATTATAGCTGATTTAACTTACAGACATGAGATTAATCTTCTCATGTCACTCTCTTTATACAATGATATAAATTCATCCCTGTTTTATTGATATCTTACGAAATATTACTCCTCACTTTTCGTGCGTTGTTCCTGCAAAAGTCCAGCAACATGAGTCTGTTTTCGCTTGTTACATGCATACTGTCTTATCAAAATAAACGTCCATCTTCACAGGAAACAACTAAGGTTTAATGTAATAACTTGGATCAATGCATGCACGCGCTGCAGGCTCTCGCTCTTTTGAATGTTCACGCTTCGGTTACATTTGTGTTAATTGGAGGAAACTGCAGAAGAAGAAGAGAGAGGATCCAGATTGCGTTGCAGTGTTCTCATGGAGAGATGAGTCGCTGCTGCAGAGGGAAACAAGCCAAAATGCTCTGAGAAAGTTACTGATATCTGAGTTTAAGCATCTGACAAAATAAGAAACAAAACCTTTTTTTCAGCCTTTGTAATAACAATCCCTTTAATCTCTGAATGAAATCATTTGAAAGTGTAAAAGTAAATGTGTGCTCTCTGGTGGACGGACTATATAAAGGAGAAGACAAACTAAACTAAAGAACCTCGACATGTATTGTACAGGATGTTTTGCGTTGCCTCCATGCCCCTAAAAACAGAACATGTATTTCTGTGTAATTATTCAAGACAAAGTGACAAATCTCTGACTGTTGGGGGGTCATAAGAAATTTTGGACCAAAAGATGTTTTCATGGGCCAAAAGAAGTCCTGTCAGGCGTCTGTAGTGAAGCGTCAAGCCACACGCTGCTTTCACTTTTATTTCTTTCGGGGGGTCATGTCGTTCCTCTCGGGGAGGCGGCGGACTCAGAGACGTGCAGTCGTGGCTGACGAGGCTCTAACGAGGCAGTCGGCTCGTTAGCCGCTAATTGAGCGGTCAGCGCCAAGATTGGAGTTCGCCATCTGTTTGTCACAGAGGAACATCTTGTCGCTTCGCGCCCGTCGACAGGCCCCTCTCTCTCCCTGCGGTGTGATATTAATAGCTCGAGCTCACAGACGGAGAGAAAAATGAAAGAAAGAAACCGGAGAAGACGACAAACAAACTGGAGGGGGGGAGGGCGGGGGACGCTAAATGGCCTGCAGAGGAGATATATGTCCAGTTAACCCCGACAGGAAGCAGCATGTCTGAGATAGTCTAAATAATGTACTGGAAATAAAGTCCTCAAATGATCTTTAATACAGTTAAACGTACAGAAATCATTTTCACTAAACCTGAACTATATCTAACCTGAACTATATCTAACCTGATCTATATCTAACCTGATCTATATCTAACCAGATCTATATCTAACCTGATCTATATCTAACCTGAACTATATCTAACCTGAACTATATCTAACCTGAACTATATCTAACCTGAACTATATCTAACCTGAACTATATCTAACCAGATCTATATCTAACCTGAACTATATCTAACCAGATCTATATCTAACCAGATCTATATCTAACCTGAACTATATCTAACCTGAACTATATCTAACCAGATCTATATCTAACCTGAACTATATCTAACCTGAACTATATCTAACCTGAACTATATTGAATATAAAGCCAGCAGATATATAGCCTCAACATTTTGATGCCTTTATTTCATTTGAATTCTTCTTCTTTTAAAACTTAGGCCCGAAAACATGTTGCGCAGAAAGTACTTTTATTTATTTTTTTATGTGAAAAATGATCCTTAAATGTGAATAACAAACCCATCAAGACGATAATCAGAGAGTCAAGACGCTGTTTAGGGATCAACCAATATGTTGTTCTGTTTACGGCCAATTATTAGCAATCAAGGACTACGGCCTGTAAAATGTAAATCTACATGGAGAAGTGTGAAGGATTTAGTGTTAGTGTTCAGTTCTTTATCAGTGAAGTGAATGAACTACACAGCAGACTGGATCCAATGAACAGTCAATGACAACGTTTGGTGAATGAAACGTATCCTCACTGCCTTTCTTTATTGAGTAAACTATGATGATCTGGTCCCCAGGAGCCTTCTAGCTCCTTTTTGTTCCCCTTACAGTTCTCATACAACTGGAGTTACATCCAGTAACTAATATTACTAACAGGAACGTTACAAGTGGAAGCTGTTGGTGTTTTTCTGTGTACTGGATTGTGATATTTATTACAACTTCAGGTAATGTTGTACGTTGGACACACAGCTCTTGTTTTAGTGGCCGTCTGCATTGATAGGCTGTTACTCTGACGTGTAACCAATCGGATACTACCGACATCAGAGACAGGGAAGCGTATTTTTCAACTCATTTGTTTTAGCGTCTGTCAGTTTAAAATAAATAACGAGTCCGATCATCATCAAAATGCTGAATGTCGCGGCTCCAACGCTGTTTGATTTAAAATCGACTTGAAATGTTTCAGGTGGAAACTATGACCTCCTCTGACAACATGATATTTTGTATTAAAGGAACATTATGGTCCGTTTGACAGGTAACATTATGAATCAGCGCTCACCTTTTAAACAATATATCTGGTGTGTAAAATAATTTCAATGAAATATGAACTCGGTGTCATTTTACCAGATAAACCGTCGCTTTCATCTTTCAAACGACAGACAATGTCCAAGAGAGAAAGAAGCCGCTCTGAAGGTAAAACCAAACGGTTTCTTTGCAGCTCGTCTTCTCCTCTGGGTCGCCTGTCGCCGGGTGGAAAGTCGTGTGTGTGTGTGTGTGTGTGTGTGTGTGTCAGCTCGGTGGAGGTGCTAATTTGTTAATGCTCCTCCGTGAGGAATCTTAATTAGCGTTGTAGGTTTCATGCCTAATTTGGTGATTACATGCAGGATGAATGAGCTAATGAAGATCTCAGGATGAGCCACACCTTCCTCTACTTTTATATGCTGAAGGGCTATTAACCTTTACTCTTCTGCAGTTGGTTGTGTGTAAAGTATCGAGAGGTTTTTTTTTTCTATTTGTGAGTTTTGTGGAGTCAAAAGGTCCGTTTACGTCTCCCATGGTGGCAGGAAGCTGTGCGTCAGGAGTCCTGGTTAAAGGAACAGGACCGTAGTTTCAGCGGAAGCAGGTCGCTGCTCTGGTGTCCTACAGCTATCTGATAATGTGATGCTGTCTTAATACTCTTTACAATCAGAATGTGGATCATCCCCATGAAGGTTTTCACTAACAAGGAATTTGCTCTGGGGTTTGGTGCACAGCAATAAGCATCGTAAGAGAACATAAACATAAAAGCAAGTTCTAGAAATACAGTATAGAATAAAATGACTGTAAAATGTGTACAATATATCAGTTTAAAATGAAAGAGTGGTGGTTTTGTGCAAACTATTGTATTTGCAAATGTTCTCAGAATGAAAGTATAAATTGTATGTTTTTGTCGTCTTTCTCTTCAGGGTTGGTTCAGTCCCGGTCAGGTGTTCGTCCTGGATGAGTACTGCGCCCGCTACGGCGTTCGAGGCTGCCACCGCCACCTGAGCTACCTGAAGGATCTGATGGATTATTCGGAGAACAGCGCGCTGGTGGACCCGACGCTGCTGCACTACAGCTACGCCTTCTGCGCCTCCCACGTCCACGGAAACAGGTACGACGCCGACTCAGTCCCAAGAATCCCAGCGGAGCTCATTGTAAGGATGGCCGTCCCACCCTGCAGAGACCCAGGAGTGAGACTCCCTGTAGCCGGGCCAATAGAGGACCTTGTTCATTTATGTGGGTGGGAAGCCAGTGAGGGATTGTCCTTCCCGCTCACTGTAGTGACTCCTGCAGTGAAGAAGAAATGGTACATCTAGATTAATGAATAATATTGTGTAGAACGTCTGTTGGTCGTACTCTAATAGAAGGCTTTTATTTTGCTAAATCAAAGATCATTAACGAGGACAAATAAAGCAGTGGGCACTTCCTGGATCATCTTCAGTGATGACCTCATGCTGCATGTCGGAGTAATAACATGAAAATCGAAAATGTTTCAGGAATTCAGCTTTTCTCACCATCCCATCAAATGAGACCGCTTCAATATTCACAGCTGATGATCCGTCAGTGTCGTAGTTTCAACAGGAATTACATCACATTTAGGACGTACTGATGATTTCAGTGGACCTTAAATACCCAGTGAATCCCTGAGCAGTATATCTTCAGAATAAAATACCATGTGGAGATTTATTCTCTTTATTTCACTCAATCAGTTGTAAAATAACATTTTTAAACAGAATAACGTGCAACGAATAAAGCAACAACTAACTGAGAACAGCTCTGGAGCAGACTGTAATTTGACCTTTTCGTTTCCTTCTGTACATCCTCACTGAGCAGATGCTCTTTCTTCAGCCACACACACACACACACACACACACACACAGGCTGAATCCAAAATGTCCGAACTTTCAGACTATTTGTGGCGCGTAGTCGTGAAGGCAAGAATAAACTTTCACGCTGAATTTAGTTTATAAATCCTCGAGAAAAAGCTCAAGAGAATCATCACGTTTTTTTAAAGTTTTCTTCAGTATGAAAGTGATCCAGCGTCTGTTCATCCTCTGCTTCACTGCTAACAGGAACCTTTCATACTCTTAATGGGGCCAATTTGCCAGAATGTGAACAGATATCTACTCGGAGTAAGCGGGGTTCAGCTCTGGGCACCTTCAGTTTCCCGCTGACTAGTGAGCCGCTCAGATATGAGCAGCAGCGGTGTCTTTTAGCCACTTGTTGGCATCGGCGTCACTCCAGCAGTTCAGTTCCCCACTTCACTCCCAGCAGCCCCGGCTCGCCTCCCCGGCTGGTAATTACCGATATCTGTGCTTTCTATCTTTGTCGTCTCATTTAGTCAATTAGAAAGAGTAATGATTAGCTGCTCTTAGCAAATCGCCAGTTATAAAATGGAGAGGGCGGGGGGGCTACTGGAATTGGCTTTTTGTCAGTTGGAGCTCTAATTTGAATAATTGATGCCCATTCAGGGCTCCTGGAGCTGCCTGAGTGGGTGTGGATGGAAAAAAAGAGGTTTTTGGATGTCTGGCAGGCTCAGAGGTTGAAAAAACAACAACTTAATTACAGAACTCAAGTTTCCCTGGAGGGCTGCTCGGAGAGACAAAACTACGTCGGGAGGCAGAGCGGACAAAGAGTGATCAACAGGAGAGTACTTGACTCATACGTAAACGTGTCCGCCTGTCGTCCTCTTAATTAAACCAGAGAAACGTTTGAAAGCCTCCCACAGGTGATGCCACTTTGCCAAAGTTTGCCGGACTTTTAAACTTTGTGATCTAAGTTCTGTTTAGTTATTTCATCATTTTCAGTATTTTAACACCGACGTCTTTGTGTGATGAAAGAAAACTGTTTCGTTTTTTTAATTCCTAATCCTTTAAGCTCCACTTGTGCTCGATATGCTTCGACTCCTTCTGAGGCTCCTCTTTCTGTGTCTTCTGAATGATGTGAGCTGAGGCTACTTCTCTTCCCATCATGTTTAAAGTTAGAACAGCTGTTACTACCCCATTCAGCCTCTTCAGTTGCAGCCGCGTCACACTTCCAAATGAAGGGCTTTCAAGCAGCCGGGTTTCCTAAAGATGACGTTCCCATACAACGAAACTGCATCGTCAGTTATGTTTCAGGGAACGTTTGTATTTCACAGATTACAGATGCGTGTAATCAAAGAGAGGAGGTCGAGGTGTTTGAACGGGTCAGAGACGGGGCTTCAACCCGGGAGACACTTATTAAAACTAAAAGTACTTCTTTAAACCCAAACTGTGATCTTTACTAAACTTAACCAAGTGTTGCCTGAATCTAAATGTTATTGAGAATGTAGTATCGCAACGGCAAAAGCGTCAAGAGTGGTGGAAACATACCGATGATAAACACATAGGCCGACATAGACACATTGACTTGAAACGTATTTTTGGTTTGCAGAAAAGTTAAAAGCCAAAATGTATTCTTGCAACTTGCGACAGTTGAAATAAGTGTGTGTCCATAAAGACCTGCTGTGTTCATCATTCAGTACTTCATGCCACAAGATGTGACGGACCAATCAAACCTCCAGGTGAAGCAGCCGTGACACTTAAGCTCGTACCGGTCTGTGTGGGTCTGATGAGACGGGTGCGTTTGAACTGGGATCAGGGTTAAAGGAGCATTACCAGAGCCGGGGGGTTGGTGGGGGGGGAGGTGTCCGTTCGCCTCCCTCTCACCCGTCACGTCCGATCTTCTCCTCGCCCGAGCCATCTACGCCACGCTGACACGGGATGTGACAGGAGCTTTTACCTCCCCCAACCCTTCTGGTGATGGGGAAAGGAAAAAGGTGACACACACGATCACCTGCCACTCAGCTTAATCAGCTTTCCACACCTCTTAAGGTGAAGTGGCGTCCGCTCCACCGGTACCCTCACTCCTGTCACCAGAACCAAACCGCCAGAGGGGGTTTGGTGGACCCCGCAGGCGGATATGGTACTGATCGTTTACACTTGAGCCACATCGACTGTAATGTCCCCCCCTCTCCACCATCACCACCACCCACCCCGCCCTCGGCCCCGGAGCGCCGCTGACAGCAGCCTCGCCTCCAACGCGCTCGCTTCATTTAGCAGCAACAATGTGTCTGAACCCCGACAAGCTGTCGCATCGCTCCCCACTCCCCCGTGTGAGGCCAAGCATGAACGCACATCTGACTGGGTTTAATGGTTTAATGGCACGGTGAGGCAGAGCTACCAAACCTAACACCACACCGGGTTGTCTTTCCTTTTTTTTACACTGCGTTTTGGCGTTGGGCTCCCTGCCAACTATTTTCTCGTCCGATTTGTCTTCTGCCGTAATTCGATTGAGAGGAAGTGGAGGGTGTGAGTGACATTTCTTTTGGGGGGGTGGGGTGGGGGGGTTTGAGCTCTCAATGATGATCAGAGATAAATATGGCAGCTTCCAACACAGAGAATTGATTTGAGTAACCGTCTTCACCTCCACGTTTCTGTGCGTTTGTTGTTCATTTCTTCTCGCTGAAATAGAAATGAAATGCAGCAGAAAGTGCAAGAAAGGCTCTGCCGGATGCTGGATGCCGGATGCTGGAATGGTGCTTCTGACACAGTCAGTTATTAGTCATCTGATTCTCAGGCATGGGGATATATTTTTTAATTAATCAATATGTATAGTTAGTGAATTAGTGACGCTTTCTTTTCTCTTTTTGGATAAACCAACAATCACACCTGAGGACAAATACACTACAACCATGTGGGCAAACTCCTGTGATCTTTAGAGCCACTTGAATGTAAAGAGAAGGACTCAATACCACAGGTGGAAACAACACGTCACAGAGTTTAACTCTGAATAGTGTTGGCTACATGTTTAAGGTGATTTTGTTTGTGCATTAAAGTCTTTATTTTTCAAACGAAACTCAAGTCAGGAGAGGGGGGGGGGGGGGTCTTTGATTTAATGAAAGTGTAATCTTTGTCCACCTGTAAACAGACGGGTGGAGAGGAGAATAATGGCTTCATTTAAAATCTGTGTCAGCACTTTCGGCCAATTTTTGAGCTGAATCAATTATTTTATGATTTTTTTTTTTTTTATTGCTTTTATCAGCAACTGTTGATAATCGATTCATGGTTCGAGTCGCTGTTTCTCTGTTTATCTCCACTAAAGCCACAGGGTAACAAGAGAGCTGCAAAACCGATCAGTCAGCTTTATTTCCTGCCACCTCGCTGACAATGAACTGCTCAGATTACAGGACAGCTGGCATCGAGCCTCAGGCCGTCCGTCTCTACGTCCGTCTCTACGTCCGTCTCTACGTCCGTCTCTACGTCCGTCTCTACACTCGACCACTGAAGACCTGGCTGTGACCACAGTCCTGGGGACTTAATTTGTCCATGGAGGGGCCCAGAGAGCAGCGAGGCCCTCGGCTGCTTCAACATGAAAGCGAGCTTTTCTTGCCTTTTCATGAGTGAGCACACACGCTCCTCCCAACGACTCTGCTTTATGTTCCCTCAGGATAAACTGGTGCTTGTTAAATAGAGGTTGTGGGAAGTGGAGGGGGTTTGTAATGAGGGTGGGGGGTGGCTGGGCGGGTGGGTGGTAATGAGTTGACAGATTTGGGGAACAACGGGGTTTAGAAGTTGTGCTAACAAGTGCCGTTGTGCAGAGAAAGCTGCCTCTCATTACAGAACAAATGGAGTAGAGTGGAGCTGAAGAGAGGCGCTGATGTTCTCACACAATACATTACCACATCCTGTTGTCCTCCTCCACCTCATCCACAACCCCCCCCCCAAACCCCAACCTGTTCTGAGGAAATACTCCTCATTGACAAAGTGAATGTTCCAAAAGCTGTGTTTGTTGTTTTATAACATTTTAGTTACATTTATTTATGTATCTTTGAACTTCTAGCATTTAGTTTTACTTCATTTGATTTAATTGTATGTAGTTTTGTTAATGTGTTATTCTTAAATATACTTAATTATTCTATGTCATGTCATTTTGCTATCTTGGTTGGTATTTTTTCTATGTATTGATATATTTTTATTTAATATTTGATTTTATCTAATTTTATTCTATTTCATTTTATGTAACATACCAAATGTTTTATATTATGCAGTTTTTATTATTTACCATGTTTTGTTTAATATTTTATTTCATGTAATGTCATTTTACTCTTTTTTTCATTTCATGTAATTTTGCGGTTTGTTTTATTCCATTCATTATATTTTCTATTCTATCATTTTTTATTTTCCTCCTATCTGGATTACTTGACATGTACTACATTTATATAAATGTTTCGTTTTATTTATTGTAATTATTTCAAGGCTCCTTTATTCGGTCCTGTGTTCCCTGTGCTGTTACCGGCTCCGTCTGAATTATGTTATTATTAGAAAATATTTTCTACTCTCAGTAATTCACCTTCCCGGTGAAATAATGTGATTATTTTAGTAATAGTAATCGTCAGGAGGTGAGTCAGTATCCTCCTCTCACCTGACTCCCCTCTCTGCAGAGACTCTGCGCTGCTTCTCCTTTCTCCTCTCGTCTTTTTATTTAAACGTGAGACTGGAGAGTCGGGAGCACGCCGTGAGGAGCTCGGTGTTGGTACTCGAGGTGCGGTTGGTTAGGGCCCGAACCAGCGAAAGGCTTTTATAAGACAACAACTCATTAACAGACAACCTCCTCGCTTCTTCCCTCCAGCGACTGCGAGTGCCGTTTGGAGAGGATGCTTTTCTCTTTCAGCCGCACAGACAAAAGCCCAGAAAGTCAAGGCTGGTCGCTCTGGGTACTGATTGCATTTTTTCCCCTTTTTTTTTTTTTTTGCCAGAGTGCCTATTCAGACGAAGGCAAGAAGGGAATGAAAGCTTTACAAACATTAATGAAGCGCTCAGCTAACAGTTTTCTTCTTTGTCGACTCTCCTTCTGCCGGCCGTGTGAGTAGTGGAGGTGGAAGAAGAGCCCGAGCAGCTCTCTGTTTGATTGGTTGACTTTGAGGTCAGCGTGGATAGTTTGGCTGCTTTATCGGTTAGTTTGGTGAAAACACGCAAGTTGTCAGAGCGAGAAAGAGAAAAACTAAAGACGGAGAAGCAGCTGGAGACGTTTTGTTCTTTTTTCTTTTGTTATTTCTTATTTCACCTGTGCGTGCCTCAGATTTCTTGATGGTTTAGGACCTTTAGCTGATGTGCAGTTCTTCTTGGTATTTGCAGTGAGGAGGTCTTGATAAGAAGGGCCTCTCTGCTGAAATGTCAACAGCAGAGCAAGGAACCAGTCTCCAGAGTTCATGTTTGAAAAGGCCTTGATTTACCTCACCAGAGACCCAGGCCTTTATTTGAAACGGGCGTATATCTAATATATAAAGTATTTTTATCATACTTTTACATGTATGTATGGACACAATATCAGTGCGCATGTTGGCAACGGATGTGGCGTTATAGACCGGCCATCCAGACGAGTTAGAAAGCTTTAAACATTGAATTCAAACTGTTTCCAGCATGAAGACGTCTGCTTGTTTCATGGTCGGCTGTCAGGATTCCAACAGCGGACTCAAGTTCTACAGTATTCAGACAGGTGTTCCAGTTCAACAAGTGACCGTGTTAACTGGTGACTCTCAGCCGAATGCATCAGTGGTTTCTCGTCGTAACTTAATGGTTGTCGTAGATAATAAACACAGATGAGTGTATTTAAAATTGATCGAATGCTTTTACGAGAACATCATCAGCTACGTCACTACGAGCAACCACTGGTCGGCTGGGAGTCTCCAGTTAACACGGTCACTCGTTAAAGTGAAACACCGGCGGTGTTTGACTGTTTGTAGCGACTATTTAAAAACAGAATAAAGTCAAACCTCTGAGTCTGTGTTGACATTCTGTACGTACTTTTGGTTGTGTCGTCTTTGTAGTTACGTATTGTCAAAGTCTTATACTTAAACAATTTTACACGTGATATGAGTAATTCAAATGGAATCAAACTAATTATTTGTCTCTCGCCGTTGACTACCGTGCAAATCTTTTTCCAAAATATATTTCCATGTTGGTCCACGGGAAGGGGCGGGACTTCAGCTCTCTATTCGGTGTAGCAAATGAATCTTTGCTGGTTCTCTGAAGAAGTTCTACTTGAAATGACTTTTCTTGTCATGCTTCAAGAGATCGTAGTGTGTTCCTGAATCATAACGTGTTATGGATGTGTGGGCCTATGAAAATGTGCACTTGTGAAATGTTGTATTGTGAACACATCAGCTGCCAAGATGTGTTGAGTTACAAAATCACAAATAGGAGGGTGATATAATGCATTATGTAACCTGTACTGTTCTGTTCCTCTAATAAAGAGGACTAGTGGTCTGTGTTCGAGAGGTAAAGATGAAGATCAGCTGACGGTCCTGTGTGTGTGATTCTTCTCTCTTCAGGCCTGATGGGATGGGGACGGTGACCGTGGACGAGAAGGAGAACTTTGAGGCCATCAGGGGTCGCCTCATGTCTCTGCTGGAGAACCAGATCACACATTTTAGGTACCAACACCTCCTCAGCATCACAAACAACTTTCATCTTTTACATTCATATATCCATGCAAATCGTTAATACAGACATGAATATTGTTTATATATTAATTTTGATAGTTTATATCTGTGCGGATTGTTTATATATATCCGCACAGATAGTTTATGTATCCATGCAGTTTATATACGTTTTGTTTGGTTTTTGTTTGTAATTTGGATCAACTCACCCTTTAAATGCAGATTGTTACATTTGTACTGTTTACCTCATAACAATAATGTAATATTGACTGTAATAGACACACAACTCAAGTTTTGAATCTTATTTATGTGACTGGAAGTTAATAGCTGAAACAAAACTGTAGCAAAATGACATGTTAACCTCTAAAACACATTTGACAGAATGCTAAGCTGTGCTGTAAAGTGAAGTGATTTGACAAAACCCAAACGTGTAATACCACCAGATGCAGTTAAAGGTATGCTCCTTTAACTGCATCATAATGAACCCAGGCATTCTGGGTATTTTCAGCCCCATCAGCAGCACACAACAGGTGCAGAGCATGCGTCGACGGCGGCTGATGAGACCTCCCTGCATCTGCGTGCTGCTATTCAGCGCCGCCGTGTGAACGCATTGTGAGCGCGGTGTGAAAGCGGCAGCCCCGAGACCTTGAGCAACACTCGTCTGAATGGACCTGTGCCATTAACTGTCCTGAAGCCCGGCTCTATAAATCCTTCACGCCTGAGAGGGGCCCTCCATCTGGCCCCAGAGGGGAGAGGAGGGGGGCCGGTCAGGGCCGAGTGTGTGTGTGTGGGGGGGGGGGGGCTGATCAGCGGGAGTCATTACTAACTCACCTTAACAAGAGGCTAATGCTGGTAAACAATGGCTGGGACAATGCTGGGATTATGCTAATGTCCCCCAGACAAGAGTTTAGTTTAGATTAAAACCGAGCTCAGCCACTAAGGACTCATTTAAGGTTATACGTTTAAACTTCAGCTGCTCCTCTTCACTGCCTCTAACCATTATTATTCTTTCACACAGATTATCTAAAGATTACCTCATCACTCTTTGGTAATTATTCGTCCTTTGGTTTTTACCACCAACAGTCAAGTCTCACAACTAAAGATACACGGAGAGGAACTGGCAGCCGAGTACCATGGCAGTTCACAAAATGTAATCTATTGGTTTTGTTTACATGGACACAAATTTCTGTTTAGGATGAAAATATTTGCCAATGGAAAATCAATTAGGATCCTTAATCGTGGTGGAAACACAAATGAAATGCATCCATGTGACGAAGCAACAGTCGGAGCGAGTCATTCCAAAAAGACGACTATCGGTGGGCGGGAGGGGAGCTGGATGAGTCCTTGAGACAAGACTTAAAACCAGAAGACTGGTGTTCGACACTGTGTTATGGTTTTATGGTAATGGTTTTGTTGCCTCAACCTAACTGTTGGTTTTGTTGCCTCAACCTAACTGTTGGTTTTGTTGCCTCAACCTAACTGTTGGTAAATCTAGTAAAGAAAGTTGCCATGTTGTCCTTTCAGACCTCCCTCCAAAGCCACTCCCCCAAAAAGGGTCATTATGAACTCGATCTTTAATTCACTTCCTTCATGATAGAAACGGCAGCATTCAGCCTCCACTGATGCACTCTGACCCATTCCATCTCTGCTCCTATGTATTTCCTTTATATACTACAAACCTGCAACAGCAAATACTTCTCAAGAGAAACATATTGTTGTACTCTTTTTATCAACATATTGAGGAAACGGGGTTCTTTTCCGGCATTTTTATGCAGAACTTTCATTGACAGTTATTTTCCTTCAGTTTCCACCCGAAGCAACAAAAGCATGAATAAACTTTGGTTATGTTTCGACACTCGCAGCACTCTGTTAAAGAGATCACGGTCTAGGTTAAATACTACCAGACACGATGTGTTGACTCTCATTAGCATCTAACTGAAACCATGATCTTTCTCTCACCCGAACCAGCTCGCTTTTGTTGCCTCAACTTTACTGAACAATATCCAGGCAGCAAATGATGTTTCTCTCACAACGCATCAGGCAAAACAAAATAGTAGAGTTTAAACACGATTTTCACGAGGCGGAGTTTCCCATTCAGATGGAGCGCCGACCCACGTTTGACTCACGTCGCTGTGTCAACCTGCTAATTCAGTGTCTGAAAAAGACTTCCGTCAGACATGCAGCTAAAAACACCCCAAATAATACGCAGCAAATAACAGTCAAGCTGTTGTGGATGTGAACACTGGATGAAACCAGGTTCAAAGTGATTGTGTCATTTTGTCGACATATTGGAGTCAAAGGTTTGTTTCACTCAGTAAATCAGAAAATACTGTCAACAGACCAAAAATAATCTAATTTCCTCCATGTTTTTATTAATCAATGTATAAATGAGTGATGAGTGAACAAACACCTCTGTGTGAACCTTCAGCACACAGAGAGGAATGAAAGAGTGAAGTTTGGTGAATGTAAGAGCTGCTGAAGTGGAGATTTATCATCAGAGTCTGAGAACAAACTCATTGAGAGGAAACGTCCTTTAAAGAGACGTTTAGTTCCATTACAGACATTTAGAGACTCTACAGGTGAACACATGAACTCATAGATATCACCATGAAACT